TGTGGCCCAGCTGCAAATCCCAGACTGCATCAGACAGTGAGTGTCTACATCAGGCCACATTAGTGCACTGTCTACGTATCATTATTTAAAAACCTGGACTATATATATAATAAAGGCATACATCTTTCCATAAATCTTAAATGTATTTGTTGTTAAAAAAATGTTTGGGTCCAACTTCTATAAGTTTCTGTTTTTCCCATCATATCTGGTCATTTCTCTCTAAATAATTTACAAAAAAAGTATTATTTCACGACATGGCGGCGGCGGCAACAACAATACTACAGCGAGAATAAAAGTTACGCCGCCTTTCTTTGCGTGAACATTTGGGCGGCGTTATGCAAATCTTCCCAGATAGTGACGTAGACATGTGGGGGCGTGTTAGAACGAGCCGTTTTAGGTAGGCGTGGCTGACTCTTAACTTTTTTTAAAGAGTATCTCTTTGGATTTGAGACTTTAGTCTTTGCAACTTTACAGATCTTCTTTATGCACCAAGAGCTTGTAACACTCCAAAGAGAAAGGAAAAATTGAAATCTCATCATATGACCCCTTTAAATCCATGTTAGTTAAGAGCATCTAAACTGTAAAAGTATCTGCGCACCTTTTTCCAGCCATGGAAGCTTGTTTCCATCACAGAATAAAAACGGCAATTTTGACATTTTCCTCTCGCAATTCTGACAAAAAGTCAGAATTGTGAGAAAAAAAAGTGTCACAATTATCTTTTTTATTTTTTATTCCGTGGCAGAAAAAATATATTGTGGGATGTAAACTTAGAATTCAGTTACAAAGTCAGAATTCTGAGTTTACATCTTGCAATTCCTGACTTGTTTTTTTTCCCTCAAAATTGAATTAGAAAAATATGAATTAGAGTTTCTATTATAGACATGCAAACACAAAGCAAAGAGCAAAGTAAAATGATAATGTTATTTACAGTAAAAATAAATAAAAATTAGTTTTTTTTTTTAAAGATTTGGTTAATATAAATTCAAATTATACCGAGAGCTTTTTTTATACGCTTTAGATAATATTACTATCTATATCTCAATTAAAACAAAAAACAGTTTGCTCTTTGTACAACTGTATTGTTACAAACCAAAACACAAAAGGATTCATCAAAACATAACACCATGCCATATGAACAGAACACTATTACTGCTCCCATTTAAACAAAATCAATCAGTTGGACTAATAGACTTAAAGTAAAGAATAAAAAGAAAAGCATTAAAGACAAAAAGAGCCTAATGAGTGCTTTGCACAAACATTATGGCTTTAAAAAAAATAAGACAGATGCTTAAAAAATGGGCAAACAGTCACATAAAACCAAAAAGTGAGAAAATCTGCAAGCAACATGTATAATTAAGTTAAGGGAGCTGTCGTGATCTTTGGCGGAGATGCAAACATCTGCATGTTTCTCTATACTGTCAGCTAAGAATGAAATGCATTCCCACTAAAAAAATACTCTAAAACATTCAAAAGCAACATGCACAATCTGAAAGCATTCGCTACGCACATTTTTTCCTATGACATTTCCCAACAAATTACAGCAAACACAAAGTAAATTAGTTTGGGATCTTGCACAGCAATGCCTTTGAAATAAAACATCACAATTCTAAGCAAAAACATCGTGTTTAACATTTCAGCCCAACTTTGTGCTACATTGAGCGGCATTCAAAAACAAAGTACAGAGTAAAGTATACAAAGTGTGTGTGTGTGTGTGTGTGTAAATCAGTGATTTAATCATGGTGCCGTGTGTGAGGACTGGAAACAGAGAGCGTGTGTTTGAGCTGGTGTGGGGTGGAGCTTGATGTGTGAATGTGATGTTTAAATGACAAAGGGCAGTGGCTCGCTGCTGGCAGGAAGCCGCCGTTCAAAGTCTCCACTCAGATAATCAGATAATAGCCTTTTTTTAATACTTAAGGATTAAAGGAATAATTCACCTAAAATAAAAATTATTTACTCAACCCTCATGTCATTTCAAACTTTTTTTTTTTTTACAGTGGAGAAATTTTTGAAGAATTTTCATGCAGACTTTTTACAATGTAGTGCCTGTTAGACTCTCTCCAAAAAATTCAAATAATAAAAAAAGCACCAAATATGGTCCTCAAAAATCCAAGTGGTCTTGAAGCCGTATTATTGCTTTCCAGATTATTGACTAAATATTCCTGTAGCATGCAGTTCTCATGTTAACAGTTCACTTGAGGGGACGATTATCAGTGAATAATGACATAAATTTGGTCTGTTCCTCACATAAAGCAAATGTAAAACTTCAGAAAACTTTGAATATGGACCACCATTATGGTGCCCTTTTGGATTTTTTTATAGCTTATACATTATATCACTATGCATTGATGTTGTACTAATAATCACAGAAAAAAAAGTATAGGCCTACTCTTAAAAATAAGGGTGCTTAAAAAGTTCTTCACAGCGATGCCATAGAAGAACCATTTTTGGTTCCACAAAGAACCATTCAAAGGTTCTTTAAAGAACCGTCTCTTTCTTACCTTTTATAATCTGAAGAACCTTCATTTGCCACAAAGAACCTTTTGTGAAACAGAAAGGCTCTTCAGATGTTAAAGGTTCTTTGTGGAACCAGACAAAAAGGTTCTTCTATGGCATCGTGAAGCACCTTTATTTTTAAGAGTGTGTGTGTTTGAAATGACTTGGTGAATGAGTATTTTTATTTTAGGAATTTTTAAAACTATTCCTTTAGAGTTATTAAGGCCATTACGCATCATTTGTTCATGCAATATCAAACATGCGGACATAAAAAAAGACATTTTCATACTATATCTTTCTACTATACACATACCAGAGGGCTTTGTATAATACACTAATTTGTGCAACTGTTAATGACAAGCAGTTGGAGACACTATAATGGTATAGGTGCACATATATTTCCATTACAAAACAAAAGCAAACACACACTTGCGCACATCCTTATCAATGACAGACTATGACAAACATGCCAGTTATAACTTTGGGAAGGCAGTCAAATAGTCCCCGGTGTTAAAGCGATAAGAGCCTGTCCTCTTCCACAGCAAGCACTCTGTGCTTGGAGGTTGAAAAAGGAGGTTGTCGATTTTGTGATTGGGATCTGCTCTTTATCTCCTCCTCATTGGTGCAGTGCTGCTAGCTGGACAGGTTCTGCTGAGGACACTTTACGGAGCTTTAAGGAACAAAAATGAAAGTCTGGGGAACAGATGAAGGTCTGTGGTTAAATAGGAGTGCATGTGAGAGGATGGAGAGGAAGAGGAAGGTGTGCGTTCATACTCACTGGTGAAGAGGCTATAACAAGCTGTTTCGTCCATTAGCATGAGGCACTTTGGATCTCATTTGTTCCTGCATTGGGCCAGACTGCAAAAGGAAGTGACACAATCAGGTTATTGGCATGGAAAAACTTTAACTTTTATTAACAATAAGTCCACTTTAACAAACACAACAACTATACTTTTAGTAGTCCAGTAAGATTTCCATTGATATGATCCAAGTCTTAAAGTGGTCATAAAGTAAAATTTCAAACTTCAAGTGAGGTCAAATAATCTGATATACTAGGAAAAAAAAAGAACTTTCAGACTTCAAAACTTCCTACTAAGTCAAACAAAAGAGCATTTATTGAATATTACTGCTATTAAAGAAGCATTGAATTATAAGAATAATACACACACACACACACGTAAAAAATAAGTAAAAATTAAAAATCATTATAGTAATATTAAAATAACATCATAATTACTATTATTTATATTTAATAATATAATACCATGACATTATTTTAATATTATTTCTATTTAATTATATATAATAGCAATAATAAATACAATTAAAATATACGGTGGGTACGGAAAGTATTCAGACCCCCTTCAATTTTTCACTCTTTGTTATATTGCAGCCATTTGCTAAAATCATTTAAGTTATTTTTTTTTCCTCTTTAATGTACACACAGCACCCCATATTGACAGAAAAACACAGAATTGTTGACATTTTTGCAGATTTATTAAAAAAGAAAAACTGAAATATCACATGGTCCTAAGTATTCAGACCCTTTG